AACAAAATAGGAAAAATGAACAAATAACTACCGAAATGAGTGGGTAAGTGGATGACCGGAGGCCGGAGGGCGGCGGCCGGCGGCGAATGGCCGGCAGGCAGCAGGGGTTGGCGTAGGGGCAGGAGCAAGGAGCTAGGGTTTTGGATTTAGAGAGTATTTGATATTTGAATTGATATTTGATAAGTGAACAAATATAAAAATACAAATACAATTCAAAATTTCAAACCACATCTCCACACTCCCCTGTCCAGCCGTCCCTCCAACTTTCATCAAAAAGATTTAGTAAATTTAGTTAGGCCCACAGCCCACTCCAAATTAGTTAATTTATTGAGTCCAAATAATTACTAGGGATGTAAATGGGTCGGGTTGGGTACGGGTTTTGACAAACCCAAACCTGACCAGCATATAATTTACCCTACCCAAACCCGACCCATTACCCGACTAGTGATCTTTGGGTTCAGGTTGGATTTTACCCGGCGGGTTAGTGGATTTTTGTCGGGTAAACGGGTAACCCGAGTCTTACATTTGGAATTTACCCGGCCCATCTCGTTTCATATATAAAATAAAATAAAATAATTTCAAAATTAATTATAATGTAAAATATAATTTATTAACTATGTTTGATAATAAAAGATTATAAAAAATGATATTATTGAATAATTAATGAGTTATAATTATTTATCTTTTATAATTACTTTAATATTATAACATTTAAAATTTAAGTATTTAATTTTTTTATTGTACAATTAACAAAAGATGATAATGAAATTACAACAATACAATGAAATTTATCCATTAATCAATATTATAATACATAATCTAATTTTTAAAAATACACATGACTAGTTTTATTTATAATAAGTCATATATAAATGTAGAGATGCGCTCAAACGAGAATGAGTCATAGTGAAAGAAATAAGAATTATTGTGGACCATTAGATTTAACATATCAATGGTCATGATGGTAACAAAATTAATATTTAAAGTCAAACACATTAAAGGTAATTCAGTAATTTGACACTCATTAAGGGTAGATATGACATTAACCCAATACATTTAACAGTGGACCCACCCCCACCACACTCACCATTCCCCACGTTTCTCTCACCTGCCCCCACCCACCACCAACTCTCTCTCTCTTCCTGTAAAAATAAACTCTCTCAGCACCGAAAAAAAAAAAAAAATATATCTCTCTTTCACACTTCTCCACCACACATCACACACACATCGACGCACATACACACACATATGCCGGCAACACCACCATCATTACGCCAGCCGCCGGCCCAACCGCCTCCCCAACCGCCAATAGCTTGCCCGTTGCCGCCGCTTCATGTTCACCCAGTCACACCACCACCTTGGCGTCACCAGTCTCGCTCACCGCTGACCCCGCTTTTCGCCAGTCCCGCTCGCTCCGCCGACCAAGCTCGCTCCGCCGTGAAGAAGCAGGTTGATGATGTGCGACGGCGTCGCCGGCTACCTAGGCAGATATGGCCATATGGGGGAGGGAGTGTGCGGTGGAAATTTTGTGGTTGAATTTGGGGTTAGATATTTTGAAAATTTGATAAGATGTAGGGACTCAATTGCAAATTTATAATTTTTAGTATTATTACAGTGTAGTTCATATGTTCAAATTGTAATTGATTAAAATATAATTAGTATTTAACCTTATATTATATTGCATATTTGTTCCTTTTTTTTTTTGTGAAAGTAAATAATATTGTATATTGTTATATAAAATATATGTATAAACAAAAGAATATAGTTTGATCGTGTTGTGTACTATAAAATTAATGACGCCACTGATAAAAAATAAAAACAGATAATCGTACCAAAATATAAAATTTGAAAGTGAACTTTTTAGTTTTTGTGGTCGTTATTGTGCAATTTGATAGTCATGATTGTGCACCTCTTTTAATATTATTGTGCATTCGCGTACAATCATTTTTAATAATTTGCCTTCGAATCAAACTGGTTCCGGATATAAGTAATTGGTTTATTCAATTGGTTAAACAAATTAACTAAATAATCTAAATGATTTACTATTTTCTTGTGAAAATATATTTAGTATTTTAATAGTTATATTTAGAATTTGTATTTTTTATTAGAAACACATGATATTAAAATACATAAATTTGATAATGTGCATTTCTAGTGACATTAATGTGCAGTTCAGCTACATTGTTGTGCAGTCCATTGAGTCTATATTTTTATCTGCATTACATTCTAAGATTTTTTTTTTTAATAATGTATATTTTAATCAACCTTATTTTGCCTTTGTCAAATTAATTATATAATAAAACATATTAGTATTTATACATTTTTATTCAATATTTTATTTTATTTTAAAACAAATAATACATATATATAGATAGATAATCTATAAAACTAATATCCTTTATATAGTTTGGTCAGTTATTTTATATCGTTATTTATTTATTTATTTATATATTGTAAATAAAGTCAAAATCGAATCAAAATAACTAAACTTTTAATATATGTGAAAAAAATGCTCACTAGCATAATAGTGATTTTTTATTTTTACATGCGGCGTCATTTTGTGTAATACAATATTAGACTGATGTGTAATATCGGACGCACTAATGTGCACTTAGTGTAGCATTATTGTGCATAGTTTATATTTTTTATTTACATATTTAATATTTTATATTATTTTATTTTTTGTTGAAAATGAAATAAGACATCGAATCAATAATTTGCATTCCCTCGAACAATAATGTGCATTTCGTTTACTGTTATTGTGCAACTCGATGTGAAACTCATTGATTGAGTGTTTTCTACGTATATTACAATTTTTTTTTAAAAAAAAAAAATTATTAACATTTATGAATTTCAATTAACAATGTTTTGCATTTATCAAATTGTTTACATAATAAAATTTTATTTAGTATTTATTTTTTATGTAATATTTTATACTATTGTTTATTGTAAATAATTAATATCTATTTCATAATATGTACAAATATTATCTTATATAATTTAGTGCGCGAACTATACACTAATGTGCTCTCTCACGTTTATTATTGTACACTCCATCTAACCGTATTGTGCATTCTGCAACAATGTATATTTTAATTTTTCACTTCATACTAAAAGTTGTACATTGTATCATACTTTGTGATTTATTAAGTTTTTATTAAATTATGGATTTGCCAATTGCCCCAATAAATAAATTACAATATAATTAATGTTTACAAAATTGCACATTGGGCCTTTATTCTTATCAAATTTTCAAATTGCTCCCTCAACTTTAATTTAAAAAAAAAAAAAAAATTAAAAATTGAATATAATCTTCAGATACAATATCTGCTTTTGGGTTAAGTTTTTCTCAATCTAAGGTTTAGTCGGACGGCTCGGTAGAGGATTGAAGGGATTCAGGCGGCATAGGTCGAGGATGTGTCGTCGGAGGTCGTCGGAGGTCGTCGGAGGTCGATGCGGCGGCGACACAGGTTGAGGAATCGGAGATGGTCGGGCCGCGGGTGTCTGAGGAGGGAGGACGTCGACGGCGACACGGAATCGCGAGTAAGCCCCGTCCATCGTGATGGAGGTGTGGCAGGCTGCAGGCTGCGTCGGGTCTCGGACGGCGGCAAATAAGGGCTCGGGTGACGCAGGGGCACCGTGAGCGATGGTCGGAGGCATGGCCCGTTCGAACTTTGCCTGCTATCTGTCCCTCCATGTGCGTGTGCGTGAGAGAGAGAGAGAGTGAGAGGAACGTACTTTTTTTTTTTTTTTGGCTGCAGAGGGTGTGTGTGTTAATATGTGAGAAAGAGGGTGAAGAGAGAAAGTGGGATTAAAAGTGTGAGAGGGTGTCACGTGAAGAGTTGGTGTTGGGATGGTTTGGTGGGAATGGGGCCCACTGATGGTGGAATGTTGAGGGAATGTCAATATTAAACCCTGAATGCGCGTAACAGTGTTGTTTGTTATGTTATTGATCGTTAGATGATATGATTAAATGGCTACGATGTATTCTTATTTCTTTCACTAAGCACCATTCTCACCGAAGCGTGACCCTATATATGTATATATATGATTCAATGGTTGTGGTAAACGGGTAGGGTAATCGGGTCGGGTAATAGGTTTGCCTACTATACCCGCACCCGACCCGACCCGGGGTCCAGGTAGCATAATTCTACCCGAACCCGACCCGAAACCCAATCATCTCGGGTTTACCCCAAAAATGCGGGTAACCCACGGGTAACCTGACCCTACGGGTTTTATTGACATCCCTAATAATTACACCCAACTCACTAAACTAAGCCCTAGTTGGATACTTGGATTCTAAACGTCAACGGCCCAAATCGCCCAAGCTCAAAAATCATTTTATTATTGACTTTGTCTTCTTCGTCACTTCGTCTCTCTTCTTCTCCGATCCAACTTCCCCTCCATGGCTCCATGCCTCCCTGCTCAGTTGCTCTGTGTTTTCGGATTCCGGATTTCCGGTGGCGCCCCTCTGGCCATCCCGCGGCGCACCACCCCCACTCCGGCATCGAAAGGGCGCTCAAAGGGCGCCCTTCCAATTCCAGCAAAACCCCCCACCCCTAGTTCGAAACATTTTTTTTTTTTTTGGAAGGGCCGGCACCTCTCCGACCTTCTCTGTGGTTTCGTCGCTGCACCCACCACCAACCCTTGCATTAAGGTGGCACTACAATGGGCCCCCATCCCCTGATGCGTGTCCCACAATCACCACCTGAGCAACATGCTGGCGCACACAGCATATATCAGTTCTTTTGCTATAGTTGCCCTCAAACAACAAAGAGGGTTGGACATGCACATTGCCAAGAAGGCTGTGTAGCTGAAACTGATGGCAGCAAACGAGCTTTACAATCTTTTGTTACTCTCAACCACTAAGCATGAAACACAACAAAGTCAAATACGTCAAACAAAATACAGTTAAATCACAGGTTGCAAAATATCCAAATAACACGTGCGGGTGTGACCAAGAAAACACTAGAGCTCGAAAAGCAAAAGCAAACCCACTACTAAGCTTGGCTCCCCCTTATAATAAGTTCCAGCTCGAGCCTACGATCGTCCATCAGTTTCGCTGGAAGGAAAAGATACTTCCCCTTGCACGACTGTTCCGTCCTTTCCTGCACGCACTCCACACCCATCTTCATGTTCAACAACGTGGGCGTGCGTGTGTCCTCACCATGCTTTGCTGTGCGACCGTACGGTAATAGGGGTAAAAACTTTGCCGTGAGATCGCACGAAAATGGGGCACCCTTAGCAGTCGAGGGGCCCACACATACGACATCGACTTCAGTCCCCTGGGATTCTACAGAGCAGGTGCACACAAAAACTGTACTGTGGATCCTTTCCTGGAGGACAACAGTGTCATTGTAATCGCCAACAATTGAGATGACCGAGCCAAAATCAAACTTTCTGGCGCGATGCGGATGTGCCTGAGTGAAGTGACGGTACAAGTCATTGTACAGGCCAGAAAATTCACAGCTGGTGAACGGGCAATAATAAGGGATGAACTCGCACGTCCCCTCGTGATCCAGCTTATCGCGATGGCTCGAGAACACCTTGCTGCAGCCAAATGATGAGTTGTCACACGGGAAAGTGAGAGATTCTACAACCTTCTCCAGACATCTGAGATGGATTCCCATCACACGGCGGCAGATTGTGCATTTATTATTGTAGTCTCTGCAGCATGGAGAACATAATATATGCCCGTTGGTACACTAAATTCACAACAAACAAAAACAGATTGTGAGATTATAAACATATTGCAAATAAATCAGGGATCCTGAATACTAATTAAACAATAGATTTTTAAGGTATTATCAACACAAAGAGTTTATATAAGATTCAAACGGGTCCACTCATCAAATATAACAATCCTACCTTTACTCAGCCATATCTCACAAAATGAATGTCAAACTTATTTTCTTTACTTAGCCATATCTCACAAAATTAATGTCAACTTATTCTCTTCGCATGATATTATTCTTCATCCAAGTAGATTGTAGTTACTATTCTTTGCTTAAATTAAATTTTCAAATATTTGGATAAAATAAGAAAATGAAACCTTGCAATGCTAGTAACGTTCATAATTTTACAAATTATCTCAATTAATGGATTTATATTGTAAAAGATTGTTAATTTTCTTTTTCATTCCAAAAATTTTGAATTTTTATTAAAAATTATTCGGAAAAAAAAAAGAAAAAAAAAAGAAAAAGAAGAATGGACCTGATACACGGGGAAGCGGGAGAAAAGAGGTCTGCAGCAGTTAGGGCACTCCAGAACTTTCGGGTTCGCCAGATTCGCCGTCAATTGTCCCTCCCGTCTCGAGCCCTCTGAGGGGCCGCCTGAAACATTAGCAGCCGATGTCGGACTTGGACTAGATCCGCCTTCAGCTTCCGGCAACATCGATTCTTTGTCGGAGCCCGAGGAGGAGGAAGCCGTCGTGTCTTTTAACTCGGAGGCGGGAGGTGAAACAGCAGCGTCTTGCGTGGACGCGTTGCCTATCGGCGTTTTCGAGGTATTGGGAGGAGATGAAGGTCTCGACCTCTTGGGCGGCGGATCTTTACGAGGATAGTTTGGCCACACTTTATCTGTGTTTCCATTACCGGCGTTCCTTGATACCTTGGTCATGAATTATCCGCCTCTCAGCACTTGTTCATAGTGTAGGGTTTATAAATTCGTGAATGTAGAAGCTATTTGGTTTGTTTGTTTAGTGATAAATATAACGCAAAATTCCACTTACACCCCAACTCTCTTTTCACTTTACTTGTCAGTCCCTAACTTTTTTTTTTTTTTTTCCTCTTGTACCCACAAGATCATTATCTCTCCTATGAACTACCCTTATATATAAAAATATTATTATTATTATTATCTATTTAATCTTTACTCTTAATATATAAAAAGATGGTAAGTGCCCTTCTGTTCGACACGTGGCATAAGGAATGCAAGGGGCTGCCTCTTTTCTTTCGAAACGATGTCGTTTTTCAATTTGTGGTAATTGCCCTTCCGTTTGACACGTGGCGTAAGGATTGCAAGAGGCTGCCTCTTTTCTTTCGAAACGACGTCGTTTTTCAATTGGTCTTAAACAACGTAGTTTCCTCTTTTCTTAGGTTATCTTCTGAATTTTTGGGGCGACGACGATTTTTTGGGGTACTGTCGTCTTCTTCAGTCGGTCATTCTTAGTCCTTTTTTTTGTCGAGACTGTGAAAGTTCTGCAAGGGGGTTCATTTTCCTTTCGTTGGAAGAAGGGTTTGTTTGTTCGTGTTTTGGGCTTCCGTTGCATCGATTCAGGGTAATAATTTGAATTTTATCTGTGCGATCGTCTTCATTTATTGTTTTAGATTTATGTCAAATTAACAGACAAGGTTTGGTCTTTTTTCAAATTTTGGTTTCGCTGGTCCAGATACCTTTAATGGGTCTGTTGCGCGGGTAGATCGACTGGACATGCACACCAGGGAAGCTCTTTTGTTTTGTTTTTTTTTTCATATAATTTATATTGCTTGATCTCATTGTGTTAGAACATTATTATTTCTCGATTGTTTCGTTATTTGCTTTGGGTTTTTTTTCCAGTTTGGTTTTTTTACAATTGATTGTTGTATGTTAGTGGTGTGTTTTGCTGTGTATGGTAATTAAATATTTATTTTTTACTTTAAGTGGGATTGTGGGAAGATAGGTAAATGATGAAGAAAATTAGGTTATGTACTTCTGTGTATGCGTTCAATGTATAGGGTAAGAGCAACTTTAACAACCACATCCCATAAACCTCCTTTTACACTTTCCAACATACCACGTCATCCAAAACCTCTACACACATAAACCTCAAATAACAATAAACCTCATAAACCTCTTTTTTATGGGTCCCACATTTCACACTTATTTTTAATTAATATTATACTCTTATATTTTTATTAATATTTTAAACTATAACTCTATTTTGTATTTTTATTCAATCTAAATGTTTTATATAATTAACATATAAAAAATAATATATAATTACATTACATTATTTATATTTATAGTTTGTTCGTTTAAATAAAACAAGCTTTTATTTTTTGATGTGTGACAACACATACATTTTATTCAAATTTTATTTTTAAATTAAGAAAAATAAAAAAAAACTAATTAAAATTATGCATATATATTAAATGTTAATAAGGATTCACTATAAAATTATATTTCTTAATTTTAAATACAAATTTTATTTATATTTATACTTTCTAAATTAATTAATAAGTTAATAAATAATTAACAAAGAAAAAAAAATTATGCATATTTACAATTAGTCAATATAAAATTTTAAACCAAGAAATTAAAAATTGAAATGTCAAATACAAAGTAATAAAAGAAAACTAAAAATATTAAAAAAATAAAGAAAGAAATCAGAATACGTAAATACAATAAACATAATTAAAAAACAAAAAACAAAAGTTGGTGGGGCATTGCACCAACACGTGTTTGTCTTACATTTAACAACCTTTCTTTTTTTTTTATTTTTTTTTAATAAAGTAGAGGTTTATGAGAGGAGTAACATTGTAAACCCGTATTGGGTTTTCAAATCCCAATGCTGTCCTTTCTAATAGAAAAGCTGTGAGCATCAAAATTTTAAACCTCATGAAAACCTCCTATTAGACATGCCCTAATTGAAATTGATTCAAATCATTACAAAGTATCTTGTGGATGTAAGTACAAATATTGAACTGCAGCTTTTTAGTAGATTTTTTACTGTTTTGTGTTTACTCTAGGCAATTTAATATTTTTTTAAAGACTTTTCATTTCATTTGCCTCCACTAACATTATAATATTATGTATTAAGTGACATGGATCTGACATTATATATATAACCATCACCATTTAGTTTTACAAGGAAAAAAAAATAACTTTGTTCTACAGAAGATGTACCTTCAAAGAGCTTCTCCTGCTATTCCAAACATTTCTTCCAAATAAAAAATGACTTGCAGATGATAATAGCTAGATTGCTTATTTATTTGTATATATGGAGTGCTTGCTACCTATTGAGATCTCATTGATGTTTTCTGTATTCTTGAAAAACATAGCAAAACGTATTGTTTTGTTTCATAGAAAGATGATTTGTATAGGGCCTTTATCAACATGCAAGATCGTTTAACAGGAAGATGAATTATATATGCCTTTTATCAACATGAAAATATTAAAGTATCTATTTTGTTTGAATGATGTAGAATGAAGAAAAATTACTCACGTTATATTTTTCCTTATGTCTGGATGTTGTTTGGGGGATTAATTTTGATTGAAAGATATTTAGCTACAATAATAGCATGTGTAGTATCACAGAAAAAAAGAAAAACATGTTTATGTTATTTTTCCCTTTTTTTTCAAAAAAAAAAAATTGAACATGCCATTTTGGGGCTGATTATCGTTTATCGTTTTCTTGTGTGTTTAAAAAGGTACTGCTGCTTTTACCGTGTCGAAGAACTACTAAAGCTCCTACTTTACTCGAAAGGTTAACATACAAGGTAATGGAAAACAGATCTTTCTTATTTGGTGTTGGTCTATTATCTTTATATAGCATATTTTTTATGAAGAATAACACCTGATGTGAACTCATACATAGTTGCATCTGTAAACTTTATGTTAGTAGTCTTATTATGAATTTGGAGAGTTTGTTTATTTAGTTTGTCAAAAAAAAAGGTCTCGTATATTTTTTGTTGGTCTGTACACCTGTTAAGATTTAAAGGTTTTTGTGTAGACTCATGCGCAGTTGTAGCTGTTAGCTTTTCTCCTCTTTTCATGTATGTTATGTGTTTAGTGAGATAAAAAAACTTGCAATTACATACATTTATTGTGGTTGGTTGTTAGTTAATTGGCTATCTTTTATATTAATATATATGCATCTGTTTCAAATTTCTATACATCCTATTTATTATGTGTTAATTTTGTTGATCTTTCAATTATTTGTCTATAAATAAAAATATGTAGGTGGTTTCATTTTCGGTGGAACTTCTGTCTAAAGTTTTCGCAGATTGTATAAGCCAGTAAGGATAAAAAAGTGTTCGTTAATCGCTATCAAGTTAGCTTTCTTTCATACACATTATTTGTTAACTAATTTTTCTTCGTTCGTTATTTGTTGAGCTGCATGCTTATCATTAGCCTATTAACTGCTACATAGTTATTTTGAATAAAGTAAATAATTTTGCATGGTAGGTTCTATTCCTTTTTGCCTCTTTATTGTGTAAAAAAATATTTGTTGTTTTCCTTCTTAAGTCAAATTAAATTAGGCTAAATAAAATAATTAGGACAACTGTGTAGGTAAAATAAAACACCAAAAAAAAAAAAAGACAAATAAGCTAAATCTAAACTTTCTTTTTATATATTAGCGTAACTCTATTATATAATACATTACAAGCTTGTCTAAATAGTTTCTTTTTTTCCCTTTTGGCTTAAGTTGCTAGAATTACATTTCTTGTGTTCTAAATCTCAAGACTTTTTGTCTACAAAAAATGTCTAATAGAAATAAGTCAATGTTAGATAATTGCCATTACACTACCGTCTTTCTGGACTCTTAAAAACGTTATCGTCAATATGCCATTGAAAGATGGAAAAATAAAAAAAAAAAGAACGCGAAATATTAACAATGCGAAGCATGATCAGCGGCGACATGCCTACAAGTCCATTTCAACAATACTCGATAAATAATTCTTCAACTTTAATTTCTAATATAACAAACAAAAACATAAATAAAGGTCAATCGAGTAGGCAGGGAACTCCTATGAGTATTGATAAAACAGTGAACACAGAAATGGCCAGCTCAACACAAAAAACAACTTTGAAGCCCTCTGGTTCTGTTATAAATCTTCCTAACAAACATAGACAGCACGCCATTCAAAAGTGGAAAGGAAAAAAGAAAGTTAATCAGTCATCCTCGAAAAATACGGTTACGTATCAAAGCGAACATTGTTGCTACAATGACATTACTAATAGTCCACCAGTCGGCTGTTGTATTGTAGACTTACGAACCGCACAACTTTCAGCCGTCCTAAATGAATCAAATAGTTATCCGAACTCATATTTATATGCACAGAATAAAACGGGTTTCCAACAACGTATAGAAAATGTATTATCTTCATCCCATTCTACAGGTATAAAAAATTAGATGTAATCTATTTCATAGTATTAATTTCCTTTTTATTATTCTATTTAATTTTTACATTGTTTGCACCTGGTTTAATGCGAACATATATTTAACAGGTAACAGTGGTAGTAACAAGTACACAAAAGAAGGTAAAATTCATCCTAATAAATACTTCTAATTTCATTATAAGAATAATCTTAAATCCCTCAAACAAAATTATCTGACAACATTTGCATTTGTGCTAGGTATTACGCATCCTATTTATCGTAGTATTTTGGATAACATAGCAGGTGAGCCTTTTATTTTTACAACCACCAAAAAATGTTCTTATTGTAATGCTATTAAGTTTCCATATGAAACAACTGCTTTTTGTTGTTCAAATGGGCAAATCAAATTAGCAAACAACTCTTTGCCAAATGTTATCAAAGATTTACTTTTCTCCACAAATGAAGAATCTAAACTTTTTCGAGATTGTATCAGGACCATTAACAACCAATTTGCATTTACCTCTTTAGGCGTGAAA